TACATAAGGGGGGATATGATCTCCATGTATAATACATAAGGGGGGGGGGGGGAGATATGATCTCCATGTATAATACATAAGGGGGGATATGATCTCCATGTATAATACATAAGGGGGGGGGGGATATGATCTCCATGTATAATACATAAGGGGGGGATATGATCTCCATGTATAATACATAAGGGGGGATATGATCTCCATGTATAATACATAAGGGGGGATATGATCTCCATGTATAATACATAAGGGGGGATATGATCTCCATGTATAATACATAAGGGGGGGATATGATCTCCATGTATAATACATAAGGGGGGATATGATGATCTCCATGTATAATACATAAGGGGGGATATGATCTCCATGTATAATACATAAGGGGGGATATGATCTCCATGTATAATACATAAGGGGGGATATGATCTCCATGTATAATACATAAGGGGGATATGATCTCCATGTATAATACATAAGGGGGGATATGATCTCCATGTATAATACATAAGGGGGGGGATATGATCTCCATGTATAATACATAAGGGGGATATGATCTCCATGTATAATACATAAGGGGGGGTATGATCTCCATGTATAATACATAAGGTATATGATCTCCATGTATAATACATAAGGGGGGATATGATCTCCATGTATATAATACATAAGGGGGGATATGATCACCATGTATAATACATAAGGGGGGGATATGATCTCCATGTATAATACATAAGGGGGGGATATGATCTCCATGTATAATACATAAGGGGGGATATGATCTCCCATGTATAATACATAAGGGGGGATATGATCTCCATGTATAATACATAAGGGGGGGGATATGATCTCCATGTATAATACATAAGGGGGGGATATGATCTCATGTATAATACATAAGGGGGGATATGATCTCCCATGTATAATACATAAGAGGGGATATGATCTCCATGTATAATACATAAGGGGGATATGATCTCCATGTATAATACATAAGGGGGGGATATGATCTCCATGTATAATACATAAGGGGGGATATGATCTCCATGTATAATACATAAGGGGGGATATGATCTCCATGTATAATACATAAAGGGGGGATATGATCTCCCATGTATAATACATAAGGGGGGATATGATCTCCATGTATAATACATAAGGGGGGATATGATCTCCATGTATAATACATAAGGGGGGGATATGATCTCCATGTATAATACATAAAGGGGGATATGATCTCCATGTATAATACATAAGGGGGGATAATGATCCCCATGTATAATAGGGGGGATATGACATAAGGGGGGGGGATATGATCTCCATGTATAATACATAAGGGGGATATGATCTCCATGTATAATACATAAGGGGGGGGATATGATCTCCATGTATAAATACATAAAGGGGGGATATGATCTCCATGTATAATACATAAGGGGGATATGATCTCCATGTATAATACATAAGGGGGGATATGATCTCCATGTATAATACATAAGGGGGGATATGATCTCCATGTATAATACATAAGTAGGGGGGATATGATCTCATGTATAATACATAAGGGGGGGATATGATCTCCATGTATAATACATAAGGGGGGATATGATCTCCATGTATAATACATAAGGGATATGATCTCCATGTATAATACATAAGGGGGATATGATCTCCATGTATAATACATAAGGGGGGATATGATCTCCATGTATAATACATAAGGGGGGATATGATCTCCATGTATAATACATAAGGGGGGGGATATGATCTCCATGTATAATACATAAGGGGGGATATGATCTCCATGTATAATACATAAGGGGGATATGATCTCCATGTATAATACATAAGGGGGGGATATGATCTCCATGTATAATACATAAGGGGGGGGATATGATCTCCATGTATAATACATAAGGGGGGATATGATCCCATGTATAATACATAAGGGGGGATATGATCTCCATGTATAATACATAAGGGGGGATATGATCTCCATGTATAATACATAAGGGGGGGATATGATCTCCATGTATAATACATAAGGGGGGGGGGATATGATCTCCATGTATAATACATAAGGGGGGGATATGTATGATCTCCATGTATAATACATGTAAGGGGGGATATGATCTCCATGTATAATACATAGGGGGGGATATGATCTCCATGTATAATACATAAGGGGGGATATGATCTCCATGTATAATACATAAGGGGGGATATGATCTCCATGTATAATACATAGGGGGATATGATCTCCATGTATAATACATAAGGGGGGATATGATCTCCATGTATAATACATAAGGGGGGATATGATCTCCATGTATAATACATAAGGGGGGATATGATCTCCATGTATAATACATAAGGGGGGATGAGGACAAGGGGGCACTCTTTACGTCTGGAGGAAAAGATTTAATCTCCAATATGGAAAGGATTCTTCACAGTAAGAGCTCAAGAGTTGGTTCTGGCCAGCTCAGTGGATTGCTTCAAAAAAGTCCTGGATTCTTTCTTGGATACACAGAATATAACTGGATACTAACATTTATAGGTAAAGTAAATCAAGGGAAATATCTGATTGCCTCTCGGGGATCAGGAAGGAATTTTTTCCCCTGCAAGAGCAGCTTGGATCACACCTCGCTGAGTTTTTTTTTGCCTTCCTCTGGATCAACTGTGGGTATAGGATTATAACTTTTTTTTTAATGGTTGAACTGGGTAGACGTTTGTCTTTTTTCAGCCAGACTAACTATGTACAGTAACTATATGTGTAACTATCTACGGACGTCCACCTTGAGAGGTGGGGGGGATTTTGAAACACTGCTGCAGGAAGGGAGGGCTGGACGAGCAGAAAAATCAGACCTAGCAGATGTAGTTATGGATCTCAATATCTTCATTTAGGTCTTTTGGGTAAAGATCCAGAAGCTTTCTCTTTTAGATAGTATGTGGAATCGCCTGCCTCTGTTTAACTCATTAGAGATGGCCTCAATCCCAAACACCCTCCTGCCTTCATGATCCCCTCTCCATGAATTTTTCTTTTCCATTGTGGATATAGCACTTGTGTTTTCCAATACAGATTCTAAGCGGGAGTGAAGTGCGGCCCACATACAGCAAAGCACAAAGGCAGAGGACACCATACACCACATGTGAGGTTCCACAATTGATAAATTGTTGAATACGGTGTACTTTGCCATCAGTCCCACTTACCTCACGTTTCCGATGCCTCATCAGGCTGCATGTACCACAGTTTTTGACACCACATTTATAACTCCCCTTCTGATCGAAAATAGATGACCATTGGTGGTTGATAGGAGATTCCTTGGGTTTTTGGATTCTACTAGAAGCAATCATACTCCTGAGATCCTGAGATTTTCTGAAGATAAAACTGGGCCTATTGGGTAGTATGCTCTCCAATACTGGGTCTTTGCTTAAAATATTCCAATTCCTTGCACAGATCTGTTTCCCAAGCCCTGTTATTATACCTAGTGCAAAAGCTAACTTGCGTTCCACTGCTGTCTCGGGTTCCTTCATTAGGGGAAGTATCTGGAGTCTTGCTAGAATAAGTGTCTGTATATGCTTCATTATAAAGAAGAAGGTACTTATTGTAGGCCTCATCGATGTGAGTGTTGTTGTCACTGAATTTCTCTTTAAGGACAGCCCCCTGTTCTACATAATCCTCTCTGAGGGTGCAGGTTCACCTCAACCATCAGAACTGACCAAAAGGTACATATTTTATCCAGGGAGGGTGATGGTGGCTTTTGGCGTGCTGGTGTGAATTCCATGCACGGGATTTAAAATGTGTCTTGGAGACAATAGTGCCATTGGGCTCAGACCTCAACTCTAGATCAAGGAAAACAAGGTTATTCTTACTAACAACATGCGTAAAACTGATCCCAAAAGGATTATTTCTACAATGATCCAAAAAGCCATCTAGCTGTGTATCTGTGCCATCCCAAATGATTAGGATGTCATCAATGTACCTGGCATAAAGGACCAGGTTTGCCCCAAAGGGGGTTGTTGGACCAAATAAATTGATGCTCCCAAAGGCCCATGAATAAATTGGCATAACTCAGGGTGAACCTAGACCCCATGGCTGTGCCTTGTACCTGTCTGTAGTGTTTCCCTAAAAAGGAAAAAAGTTGTGCTGGAAAGGTAAACACGATACTGCCGTCGTGAAGAAATCTGGCCTGTTGGTATTGGAGCACTATAATATATAATTCTACAGCTCCAATACATGCAATTTCATCAATGGCACCCTTCATGTAGACTCCAACTGTATTGCTTTCAGGGAAATAGCGTGCAAAAAATATTACAAATTAAAGGAGCATCACAAGCTTGGAATGCAATTATTTCTTACAATTTAGAGAATGTGCCAATCATTGTGTCCAGTTCATTTTTGGAGTTTTGCATAGAATGTATCAGATTTTTTTGTTTGTTTGTTAGTTTCTCCACTTTTTTGTGTCATGCCAATACAAACAAAAGTAATAAACATGAAAAAAAAACCTAAAAACAGAAAAGTATGCATTTTTTTTTAATAAAAATGTGTTGAACATCTCTTTGCTCTCTTTTGTCTGTTAAATATCCATAATACGTGTTTCAAACCTATCCTGTCCCCTGTTTATGCTGCAAGCATTATTCCTAGAAGTCTAATCAGCCCCCCCAGTTGTTATCTTGGACTACAGACTGACAGGACGTGGACTGAAGCCATTACTTTAGATTTTAGTTCAGAAAGGCCACAGTCTTGTCAGGCCAAAACAGCAGAAATTGGGAGCTGAGTGCATTTCTGGCAAAATAAAGTGGACCTTTATATCCAAAAAAGCATCTTATTTAACCGCCTCCCATATAAGGAAATGACGGATGCAAGGCGGTTCTCTCGTTCTGGGAGGACGTCACATGACATCCTACCACTCTAACCGCGCATGCGTGGCTCCGGTAGCGCGCAGCGCGGCAATCGGGGGTGCGCTGTGTCCCTCGAACACAGCGGATCACCGATCAACGGAAAGAGCCGAAGATGTCGGCTCGGTCATGTGATCAGCTGTGTCCAATCACAGCTGATCCCATGTAAATAGGGAAATGCCAGTTATCGGCATTTCTCTCCTCACGAGCTGTCACACTGAAAGCTTGTGAGGAGAGGAGAGCCGGTAATCGGCATCCCTCAGAGGGGACATGTACACTGATCATCAGGGCACTGATGATCGGTGTGCTCTGATGATCAGTGTAGCCCCAGCAGTGCCATCTGTCAGTGTGCATCAATGCCAGCTGTCAGTGCCCATCAATGCCACATATCAGTGCCTACCAGTGCACATCAATGCCACATATCAGTGTCCATCTGAGCTGCCTTTCAGTGTCACCTATCAATGCCAGTCAGTGCCACCTATCAGTGCTGTCAATCAGTGCCACCTATCAGTGCCGCCTATCAGTGCCAGTCAGTGCCACCTATCAGTGCCATATATGAGTGCTGCCTTTCAGTGCCCATCAGTGATGCCTGTCAATGCCCATCAGTGCCACCTACCAGTGCCTCCTCATCAGTGCCCATCAGTGCCACCTATCAGTGCCCATCAGTGCAGCCTATCAGTGCCCATTACTGCAGCCTCATTAGCACACATCAGTGAAGGAGAAAAATCACTTATTTACAAAATGTTATAACAAAAACTAAGAAAAAACATTTTTGTTTCAAACTTTTCAGTTGTTTTTGGTTTGTTTAGCAAAAAATAAAAAAGCCAGAGGTGATTAAATACCACCAAAAGAAAGCTCTATCTGTCTCAAAAAAAATGATACAAATTTCATATGGGTACAGTATTGCATGACCGTGCAATTGTCATTCAAAGTGTGACAGCGTTGAAAGCTGAAAACTGGCCTGGGCAGGAAGGGGGTATAAGTGCCCTGTAGGCGAGGGGTTAAACTTGGTTCCTCCCCCCATCCCACTTTTTTTCTCTGAAACTTTATGTGTCTTCTTTCTCACCTGGGTGAGATTGACATTGCATTCCTAAGGCACTTTGATGGCGCCTGCGCACAGCCGGACTTTGTGCGTGTGTAGGTGTACCACAGGGCTTTAGGGTCCGCCAGAAACCTGCGGCACATCTGCGCACATACGGGGGTTGTCCCATGTGTATGTGAACATGATGCAGGTATGAGATCAGGGATCTCAGGATGTCTGCGCATGTACAGGACCCCCACACACAAACACACACACACACACGTGAAGATATGCCACAGGTTTCTGCCAGATACAGAAGGTCTGGCAGGGCCCTTCAGCACATCTGCGCACACACCAAATTTTCAAAGATGGTGGTGGCGGTGGGGTGGCGCCAAATTATGGGAGACTATTGTTTCTCTTTGGTATTTTTCTGAACTTTTTAGGTCTTGAAGGTGAATGTACATGGATTGCAGAGATGTACCAAATATTTTTTTTCCAGCCCCAGCATACACTTTAACCTCTTCAGATCCTCCCATCTGCATTGTGCTGTGGACGGGCGGCTCCTACAGGCACAGTGACGTACCTGTAAGTTTCTGTCTGTTTCTGGGTTCAGGGAGCGTGTGCACCCCTGCCTGCTGACTCCCGCTGTGATTGGAGAAAGCGGGGGTTTTGTCATCAGGTCCCAGCCAATGATTCATGGTTGGGACCTGCTGATCAGCTGTGTCCAATCACAGCCCAGAGCTTTGTGTTGACAAACAACACAGGACTCTGTACACAGGGAACGATCTCTGTTTCTCCTCCCTGCGAAGTAGAGAAAAGAAACAAACAGATATGTAGTAAAAAGCAGCACACATTAACACTTGTTAGGTACACATTTAACCCCTTGATTACCCTGAGACGTTAACCCCTTCCCAGCCAGTGTCATTAGTACGGTGACAGAGTAAAGTATTATCACTGATCACTGTATTAGTGTCACTTATAATGTCATTGTCAGTTAGTCGGTTCCTCCAGTGTCAGTTAGTGTCAGACTCCATCCGCACTATCGCAGTCCCACTATCAGGGGATATATATATATGCTGATCACTGTCATTAGTAGTATAAAAAAAGAAACAAAAAGTCCAGTAATATACCACCGGTTGTAGACTCTATGAGTTTCACCACCAACCAATTAATGAACACTTATTGAATTTTTTTTATGAAAGACATGTAGCAGCAGGGGCGGACTGACCATTTAGCCACTCGGACACTGCCCGAGGGCCCGGGGTCAATAGGGGGCCCCATGAGATGCCCCTGGTACCTTTCATAGGCTTTTTTGGGTGTGGTTTGAGTGTGGGCGAAGACACAGGGGTCCCATGATTTCCTATTGCCCAGGGGCCCCCATGAGTTGTCAGTTTGCAACTGTGTAGCAGGATATATTTTGGCAAACATTTACGAAAAAATTAGACTTTTTTTTATTGGATATTTTTTTTAGCTGAAAGTGCACCCTTTTTTTCCCTAAATTTTCAGTCTTTTTTCGTTTATATATAATAATAAAAAAAAAATCCAGTGGTGATCATATACCAGCAAAAGAAATCTCTATTTGTGTGAAAAGGATGGCATAAATGTAATTTGGGTTCATCATTGTATGACTGCACAATTACTAAGTAGCGCAGTGCTAAATAGCAAAAAATGGCCTGGTCATGAAGAGATAAAACCTTCTGGGTGGTTAAAAGAAAATGCTAAGGCAAAGGTTGAAAGGTAAATGAATCTGTGTTTTACCACTCTGGTTGGCTTCAGGGGGCTATTGAAATATTTTCTTCATTTACATGATAGCGTCCTGTTAAGGATCCTTTCTAAGAGGCTTTCCAAAACAAAGACACTCTCACCGAAGTGTTTTGATTGGAACAAAGTGTTTTGATTGGAACGTGTGGCTAATTGAATGTGGATTATTAGATGGATTAGTCATGTTGGTTCTGTAATGCAGTTTATTGACGTAGCCATTATATGCTGTGTTTAATGAGCTGGGCTTGGTGCTTGGTGAAGTGTAACAGGGTGACCACGCACCGGTGTGTAGAAAGGAATGGCGTCCCCATTGTTTTGATAAGTAAAGAGCTGGGTGTGCTGGACATGTGATGGGGAATCAGAGTGCCAGTGGACAGGTCAGGACAAGTTGCCTGCCACATGTATCACCTCTTTGCCAATTCGTCAATGAATGGACCTTTTAATAGTGTGATATCTCCAGTGCTATGTTGATGATATCCGTAGAGTCTGAGGTTATCAAAGCCCTGTTCCAACCAAACCTTTAACTACACAACTAAATCACGCACATACTATTTTGAGTACTGAATCATGTGTGAATCATTTTACTAGAACTGACATTTAGCCGTCTTTGGGTTGATTTGGCTATATTGGAGCATTCAATATAGACTGGCAAATTGGCAGGTGAATAGACCTACCCTTGTATAGAGGTCCATTGACGAAGGGAATGAACTTTCTCTTGTGGGGGCTGAAAATAGAAAATGTCCTAATACAACTGGACAAAACCAAAACCATAAATCTGAAAATATTTATGGACATGAGAGGTAAACTGGGTGTCATCGAATTTGTTTCTTCCTTTCTTATTTCCTTACTTCTTCCCCTCTCCCCCTTGCTTTCCTTTCCCTCCTTCCTTTCTTCTGCCCACACTTTTCTGCCTTACATTACAACTGGGGTTCTCTCATAGTTCTAACAGCACAATTATTCTGAGGGATATTTCTTTCTTTCTTTCTTTCTTTTTCTTTTTTCTTTCTTTCTTTCTTTCTTTCTTTCTTTCTTTCTTTCTTTCTTTCTTTCTTTCTTTCTTTCTTTCTCTTTCTCTCTCTCTTTTTCTTTCTTTCTTTCTTTCTTTCTTTCTCTCTCTCTCTCTCTCTCTCTCTCTCTCTCTTCTCTCTTTCTCTTTCTCTCTCTCTCTCTCTCTCTCTCTTCTTTCTTTCTTTCTTTCTTTCTTTTCTTTCTTTCTCTCTTTTTCTCTCTCTCTCTTTCTCTTTCTTTCTCTTTCCCTCTCTTTCTCTCTTTCTTTCTTTCTCCCCCCTCGATACATATTTCCCACAATCCTCTTGTATACACCACAAGATCAGTGCTGTTTGGTTCTCTCTGGCTCAGCTAAAGACTGAACCGTATGGCATACTATGAAAGCCTCCAACACAAACTGATGTAAACAAGCCAGCCGCAGACTCCAGTCATTGTTTATAAACCACAAGAGGCAATTTGCCCATAAATAGCTATAGAAGAAGTTTTCTGTCTGTTGTGTAGAGGCTTGTTATATTTCATCCAATCCTGCCAATTATTGCCTGAGCTGTATTTCAGTTTTCAGGTCTCTTCCATGTACATAATGTCAACTGGAAGGACTTTTTTCATTTTTCCAAGAGTCCTCTCTCCAATCCAGGCCTATCTTAAGAGGCAGATCTGCCATAGACAGTTATAGAGCAATGGAGTCCTTCCTTCCTTCCTTCATTCTTTTCTTTCTTTCATCATTCCTTCCGTCCTCCTTTCCTCAAAGTTTTTACTCTTTACATTGCTGTCTCTCTATACCACTGGCTCTTTCTTTCCTTACGTCTTTGCTTCCTTTCTTAGATTGGAACCATGCTTAGTGGGTTTAACTCTACATTGATGCTGCATTGCCATCTCTCTACATCTCTTGCTCCTTCCTTCCTTCCTTTCCTTCCTTCCTTCCTTCCTTCCTTCCTTCCTTCCTTCCTTCCTCCCTCCCTCCCTCCCTCCCTTCCTCCCTCCCTTTCTCTATTCTTTTCTTCCTCCCTGTTCTCTTTTCCTTCATTCCTTCCTTGGAATGGAACAACATTTAGTGGTTTGGTTCACATTGCTCTGTATACTTTTTTCTTTCTTTTTTCTTTCTTTCTTTCTTTCTTTCTTTCTTTCTTTCTTTTTTTCTCTCTCTCTCTCTCTCTCTTTCTTTCTTTCTTTCTTTCTTCTCTCTCTCCTCTCTCTCTCTTTTTCTTTCTTTCTTTCCCCCCCCTCTATAGACTGAACCGTATGGCACACTATGAAAGCCCTCCAACACAAACTGATGTAAACAAGCCAGCCGCAGACTCCAGTCATTGTTTATAAACCACAAGAGGCAATTTGCCCATAAATAGCTTTAGATTAAGTTTTCTGTCTGTTGTGTAGAGGCTTGTTTTGTTTTATCCAATCCTGCCAATTATTGCCTGAGCTGTATTTTAGTTTTCAAGTCTCTTCCATGTACATAATGTCAACTGGAAGGACTTTTCCATTTTCCAAGAGTCCTCTCTCCAATCCAGGCCTATCTTAAAGTAATACTAAAGCCAGGACCCCGCATTCACTATATCTGGTCTCCCAGGACCCTGCATTCACTATATCTGATCTCCCAGGACCCCGCATTCACTATATCTGAAGTCCCAGGACCCTGCATTCACTATATCTGATCTCCCAGGACCCTGCATTCACTATATCTGGTCTCCCAGGACCCTGCATTCACTATATCTGATCTCCCAGGACTCTGCATTCACTATATCTGATCTCCCAGGACCCTGCATTTGTTATATCTGGTCTCTCAGGACCTGCATTCACTATATCTGATCTTCCAGGACCCTGCATTCACTATATCTGGTCTCCCAGGACCTGCATTCACTATATCTGGTCTCCCCAGGACCCTGCATTCACTATATCTGGTCTCCCAGGACCCTGTATTCACTATATCTGGTCTCCCAGGACCCTGCATTCACTATATCTGGTCTCCCAGGAACCTGCATTCTCTATATCTGGTCTCCCAGGACCCTGCATTCACTATATCTGGTCTCCCCGGACCCTGCATTCACTATATCTGGTCTTCCAGGACCCTGCATTCACTATATCTGGTCTCCCAGGACCCTGCATTCACTATATCTGGTCTCCCAGGACCCTGCATTCACTATATCTGGTCTCCCTGGATCCTGCATTCACTATATCTGATCTCCCAGGACCCTGCATTCACTATATCTGGTCTGCCCAGGACCCTGCATTCACTATATCTGGTCTCCCAGGACCCCGCATTCACTATATCTGTCTCCCAGGACCCTGCATTCACTATATCTGGTCTCCCCGGACCCTGCATTCACTATATCTGGTCTCCCGGATTCACTGCCCATGCATTCACTATATCTGGTCTCCCAGGATCCTGCATTCACTATATCTGGTCTCCCCGGACCCTGCATTCACTATATCTGGTCTCCCAGGACCCTGCATTCACTATATCTGGTCTCCCAGGACCCTGCACTCACTATATCTGGTCTCCCCACAGTACACACAACATGGAAATACAATTATTGTAGTAAATATAAACTACTAAATACCTTTTCTCATCAGCAGTTAGCGCAGTCTTGTGACTTCAGCGAAGCACTGGTTAAAGCTTGTAAGAGGAGTTTTCTTTCTGCTCTAGTAGGATGAAAAGCCCCTGACCTCTGTCTGGACAGAGCTGATTGGCCCTGTGCTGATCCCATGCACTCTCCCAAGAAAAGAAAACCCTCTCTAGCAATACACACCAAACCGAGCATGTGTTTGTGACTACGGGTTCAGTCTGTCTCATGAGGTGGACATTTGAACAAGAGGAGGAGCAGAGAAAACAGGATAAAACAGCCTTTTTACACAATGTAGAGGATTGACCCCTTAGGTTCCACAGTGAGTATAACAAGCATGCTTTACTGCATATACAGACTGATTGTACTGTGGTGGGTTTAGTAACACTGTAAGAGGCAGATCTGCCATAGACAGTTATAGAGCAATGGAGTCCTTCCTTCCCTACTCTATTCCTTCCTTCCTTGTAGTTTTTACTCTTTACATTGCCATCTCTCTATACAAAGGGCTCTTTCCTTCCTTTCTTCTTTACTTCCTAGCTTTCTTTCTTATATTGGAACCATGCTTAGTGGTTTTTACTCTACATTGATGCTGCATTGCCATCTCTCTACATCTCTCGCTCCTTCCTTCCTTCCTTCCCCCCTTCCCCCCGCTTCCTTTATTCCTTCCTCCATCCATTTCCTTCCTTCCTCCATCCATTCCCTCCCTTTTCTTCCTTCCTCCATCCCCTCCCTTCATTACTTCCTTCCTTCCTTCCTTTCCTTTCCTTTCCTTCCTTCTTCCTTCCTTCCTCCCCCGCTTCCTTTATTCCTTTCTCCATCCATTTCCTTCCTTCCTCCATCCATTTCCTCCCTCCCTTTTCTTCCTTCCTCCATCCCCTCCCTTCCTTCCTTACTTCTTCCTTCCTTCCTTCCCCCCTTCCCCCCCGCTTCCTTTATTCCTTCCTCCATCCATTTCCTTCCTTCCTCCATCCATTTCCTCCCTCCCTTTTCTTCCTTCCTCCATCCCCTCCCTTCCTTCCTTCCTTCCTTCCTTCCTTCCTTCCTTCCTTCCTTCCTTCCCCCCCCTTCCCCCGCTTCCTTTATTCCTTCCTCCATCCATTTCCTTCCTTCCTCCATCCATTCCCTCCCTCCCTCCCTTTTCTTCCTTCCTCTATCCCTTCCCTTCATTCTTTCCTTTCCTTTCCTTTCCTTCCTTCCCTTCCTCCTTCCTTCCTTCCTTCCTTCCTTCCTTCCTTCCTTCCTTCCTCCTTCCTTCCTTCCTTCCCTTCCCTCCCTCCCTCCCTCCTCCCTCCCTTCCTCCCTCCTTCCTTCCTTCCTTCCTTCCTTCCTTCCTTCCTTCCTTCCTTCCTTCCTTCCTTCCTTCCACAATTGGATACAGCATTAACCTAACAGGGCAGGACTACAGGCTTTTGCTATAGAAACCATAGAAAACACCAGCATGTTTCTTAGCAGTTGCATATTCCAGGGCGTTCAAAAAAATAAGAATGCTTCCAGTCACCTAGATCTAGGTAGTGAGCCATACGGTTGCAGAAGGTGATCGGAGGATAAAAATTAAAGTGGCTGGCTTTGCCTACTGAGTCAGATTTCGTGGAACACTTTCCCATCTGACGTTCTCCATTACATAAAGAATTAACAAATAATAAATATGAGCTCCTAGACTTTGGGTGTGGACTGAATCATGGATTTTGTTGGTGTGGTTTAAGGTAATATTTGCTCATCATGTGAATCTTCTTAAGAGAAGATGCCAAAATGTTGTTAATAATACAGAAGTATGGGAACAGCTGAGCACACACGCATGGCCTCATTACACAATGCGTCAGTATTCTCTGCAGAATACATTCCCGACAGCAAGGAACTCAAAGTGGGGCATTCGTGACATAGGCGTAGGGAGCCTGGTATGGCCACTTTTTGCTCTTGGCTTGTTCTTGTTTTCTGTGTGGGAAAATCTTGGATCTTTATCCTGGTGGCATGGTATTGTACAACCCCACAAAAAAACATCCCAATACCAACTAAACACATAACAAACCAATCAATTACAATATACATAAAAATAGTAAAACCAAAGTGTGGTCAAAATGAGGCCAAAATATTTGGGGTTTAAAACAGACTATGTTCATAAGACAAGTTTGGACTTTACTAAAGCTAACCTTTTACCTCTAGACCAGCGGTCAATAAATGGCGGCCGCGATCCACGAATGGCCCCAGCAGCGCTGCCGCCTGGACTTCTAGCCCCCAATGACAAATCCACCGCTCAGCAGGACGGTCATCATGACAACATGACATCACGTGTGCGCCTGGCCCCTTTCAGCTCGCTGTCTCTCCCGCTCCCTGCCTGTACACAAGCGTCCGGCAAGGATCCCGGCACAGCTCCTGTCTGTCTTAAAGGTAGGGTGTAGTTTTACATGGACACTCTGATGGGCACAATGAATGGTAAGGGGTACTCTGATGTGGAAAGGGGCACATGGGCACATACTGTGGAAAGGGGCACTTTGATGGGCACATGATGTAAAGGGGCACTCTGATGGGGATTATGATGTAAAGGGGCACTCTGATGGGCACATGTGATGTAAAGTGGCACTTTGATGGGCACATGTGATGTAAAGGGGCACTCTGATAGTGAATATGATGTAAAGGGGCACTTTGATGGGGAATATGATGGAAAGGGGCACTTTGATGGGGAAATATGATAGAATGAGGTATTTTGAGGATAAGAGGGCACTCTGACGGGAATACCTGATGTAAGGTGGCAATGTGATGGGGATACCTGATGTAAAGGGGAACAACACAGAATGTGTCCATCAGAGTGCCCCTTATTTTATGTTAAGGTGCACTCTGATGGGCACAACATAAAATGTATCCATCAGAGTGCCCCTTAATATAAATGTGCTTATCAGAGTGCCCCTTAATATAAATGTGCCCATCAGACTGCCCCTTAATATACATGTGCTCATCAGACTGCCCCTTAATATACATGTGCTCATCAGACTGCCCCTTAATATAAAATGTACCCATCAGAGTGCCCCTAATATAAATGTGCCCATCAGAGTGCCCCTTAATATAAATGTGCCCATCAGAGTGCCCCTAATAAAAATATGCCCATCAGACTTCCCCTTAATATAAATGTGCCCATCAGAGTGCCCCTTAATATAAATGTGCCCATCAGATTGCCCCTAATATAAATGTGCTCATCAGAGTGCCCCTTAATATAAATGTGCCTATCAGAGTGCCCCCTTAATATAAATGTGCCCATAAGAGTGCCCCTTAATATAAATGTTCCTATCAGAGTGCCCCTTAATATAAATGTGCTCATCAGACTGCCCCTTAATATAAATGTGCCCATCAGAGTGCCCCTTAATATAAATGTACCCATCAGAGTGCCCCTTAATATAAATGTGCTCATCAGACTGCCCCTTAATATAAATGTGCCCATAAGAGTGCCCCTTAATATAAATGTTCCTATCAGAGTGCCCCTTAATATAAATGTGCTCATCAGAGTGCCCCTTAATATAAATGTGCCCATAAGAGTGCCCCTTAATATAAATGTTCCTATCAGAGTGCCCCTTAATATAAATGTGCCCATCAGACTGCCCCTTAATATAAATGTGCTCATCAGAGTGCCCCTTAATATAAATGTGCCCATCAGACTGCCCCTTAATATAAATGTTCCTATCAGAGCACCCCTTAATATAAATGTGCCCATCAGAGTGCCCCTTAATATAAATGTGCCCATCAGAGTGCCCCTTAATATAAATGTGCTCATCAGAGTGCCCCTTACCATATTTTATGTTAAGGGGCACTCTGATGGGCACATACTGTGGAAAGGGGCATTCTGATGAGCACATTTATATTAAGGGGCACTCTAATGAGCACATTCTATGTTAAGCGGGCACAAATGGGCACATACTGTGGAAAGGGGCACTCTGATGGGCACATGTGATGGAAAGGGGCACTCTGATGGGCACATGTGATGTAAAGGAACACTCTGATGGGGAAATATGATAGAAAGAGGTATTTTGAGGGTAAGGGGGCACTCTAACAGGAATACCTGATGTAAGGTGGCAATGTGAGGGGGATACCTGATGTAAAGGGGCACTCTATTAAAATGGGCACACCCTATTCGTACCTCGGCCAGAAGAATATTTTAGTGACCAGACCTCCTTGAATTTTAATTCAATACCCCTGCTCTAGACAAACAGACCAATACCAATGTTAAACCAAACCACCTGCTCAGTTTTCAGGACTCTAGCACCAAGTCGCCAGCCATCAGATTACCACCAGAAATACTGTCCACCCAGGGGCGGACTTACCATTTGGAAACTTGGCACTGCCCGAGGGCCCGGGGTCAGTAGGGAGATACCCCTGATACCTTTTTCATAGGCTTTTTTTGAGTTTGGGCAAGGACACAGGGGCCCCATGATCCCCTGTTGCCCGGGGGCCCCATGAGTTGTCACCCCATAAAAGTTTACCTTTATTACACTAGTTTAATTAAAGGCTTAACCCCTAATGGTAATAAAGACAAGATGGGGGAGCAGTTGTGTGAAGTGACCATGGCATGGGGACACTTTCTCAGCTCAATGTCACTAGCAGGGGTGTGTATGCAGTAGTGTACAGAGTAGCAACCTTTTAGGCATGAAACAAATTGAGAGAAGTTGAACTTGTGCTGCTCAGACTCTGGGGTGAGTAAATGTCTCTGCTGTGTGTCAAGGGGTTTCTTGCACCATGCATGAGGGAAGGGATATCCAAACCCTCTTGGGATGATTATTTCACAGCACTGTGCACCACACCGGAACCACTCTCATTCCAGGCTTTCTGAGGACAACAGCCAACCCAGCATTTTTTAAAACTATGACTTCGTCTCCACCAGGACCAGAAAACATCCCCACTCTTGACACGTGCGATCTGCCAAACCTTAATTTTATTTATCTCCAACTCAAGTGCTAAGTTTGACCAGTCTAATGCTAACACCCAACCAAGTCCTCCCCAGCCTACCAGCTGGCACCCGGATATTCGCGCCTGCACAGTTCGTTCTGCGCTACTCCAATATGGCCGCAACTTACTACCCATGTGCGAAAATATCTACAAATACGAACGGCGGACGACACGGTGTGATTGGTGACCCCCCTCTGAGGACGTGCTTGAGCACGATACGCGTCAGGAGGAGCCACACCACGCTGTGACGTCAAGCCATTTTACTACACCAGACGTGTCCTTGTCATCCCCTGGGGGAGTACTTTAGTTCATAGACACGTTCCTGGGACGGATTACTACTACATAGTGGAACCAGAGGGATACCACCTACCAGGAACACATAGGGGGACCCCTAGTGGAAGAGGACTACCAGCTTCATACCAAATAGGAGGAAGACCATCCACTATCAGATGACATCTGGATTTTTTATACACAAAAGCGCATTTAATATGCGCGTCCGGTGAGTGCGCATTGCTTTATCACTACCACACAGATACCGGACTCTCATGTCACCTGAGCACTTTATTTTCATACTAATTTCCTGGACTATTTCTTTGTTGTTTTTTGAGCATTTGTATGGGATCAACCTCCATTCCAATACATATATTTGTTTTTTAATATCGAGCGCTGCATTTCATATATACATTGTTGTTTTTAGGGTGATATTGGTACCTTTTTTGTGCATAGCAGCTTGTTACTTATATACTTAGGCGCTTGTACTACTTTCCGCATACAAACCATAAAAAAGGTACTGCTACCAGAATCCCAACTGTAAGACTCTTGGAGCACCTTCTACAATGGGGATGAACACCATTACTGGTATGCCTCCCATATTTTCTATGGAGAAAGTAGGGCATGGCTTAGAGGAGTTTAAAAAAAAAAACAGGGTAGACTTAATCCAGGGTCCAATATTCGGGGGGTGTAGGCAACTCACCTTCTCTGTTGTTTGCTCAGTTAATTAATGTTCTTGTTTCTTCAGAATTAAGTTCTTGGCACCAGTGGATGTTTGTTCATATTGACACAAGTGTGATGTTGCTCACAGCTCAAATATTGTATGAGTGTCCCGTTACAGTGAGAAATGATTATGTTTGAAGCCATTGAGGACATCTGTTAGGTAAGGCTGGCCAGAAATTACAAGCAATGATTTCATATTCATCATTAATTGCAAATTTACTAACTAGAGGGTGATAAGGAACATGGTCAGAGGTAGAGAAGGAGAGAAAAGGACTAAGTTACTACTACTACAATCTAAGTCATTGTCCAACAGTTCCTGCCAGTCACACAACCCGTTCATGGACAGAATATCTGCTCAAGTTCAAGTCTAAAAGGAACACTGACTTTATCCCTCTCACCCTTACTTTGTCTTCATTTTCTATGGTGGCTCATTCCACTATCTAAGTATTGGCCTGTCATGTTGAATTACTATTGCCTATCCAGCTGTTTCTGAAATTCTTCACTGGCCTACAAGTGATCCAACAATCTTGGTTATGAAGTGGTGCCTGCTGACAACTGACAAGTTAAAATTGCTGGGTATGTTGGCCAAAGCAATTTTGTCATGGGGGGGGGGGGGTGACCCACTCACCCATCCGTGTACTGGCCATAGATTTGCTATGAAATAGTTCTATAATTGCAGTAAATCTAATGTGATGCTTCTGTGTGCTTGGATATGTAGGACAAACGACAATTAAATACGGTGTACCCTTCCCTTATTCACAAACTTCCCCAAAATGCATATAAACACTTTATGATTAAGTCTAATTGACGAAACATGTCAAAGGGAAGTGACGTCAGACACACAGCTGAACCGGAAGTGATCGAGCAGCCATTTTGGATCTTGGAAAGCTCTATTTGAGACACAGGAGAGGATCTGCTGAGGATTTCCGGAGGTCTGGCTGGGCTGATTTCTTGTTTGATGGCAATTTTAAAGATGAAGATATATGTAAGCAACAAGTACTGTACATCAAGCTAAAAGAGGTGTGCATTTTCTGGTTAGGTTGTCACATCAAGATTGCAATTTAATTTACAGATTGGACACCGGCCTAGACAAGCCTTTCTTTAAATTTTTACCCTAGTGCAGTGGTGTCAAATTTAATTTCATTGCAGGTCACACCAGCATTATGGTTGCTCTCAAAAGGCAGATTTTATCTGTAAGACTGTATATAAACGTATCTACTCTTTATCATAATAAATAAATGCCTCTGCATTCGATTATTAATGGTTTTAGTAATAATTTAAGACGTAAGCTGTGAAAGGCAGGTGCAGACCAGCATGGAGACCAATCACACTCGTGTAGCAGATGATGCAAGTCTCAAAAAGGAGAGCCACACACCTCTGGTATCAGCCACAAGAAACTTTATTGGAGACTGCTCAGACAGAACGTGGTTCTGCCATGGTGATCTGTCTAAGCAGTCTCCAATAAAGTTTCTGGTGGGTGATTCCAGCGGTGTGCAACCTTCCTTTTCAACTGGCATAAAATTGTATTATTCTCATAATAATTATAAGCATGTAGACTGGTGCCTACTAAGGGTATGTTATTGCAAGCTAGCAAGATTAAACTGCCCAGGTTATGGAAGAGTTAAGGTATGGGTTGACGGTTTTCTGTGATTTTTGGGTCTTCCTTTCTATAAATAGGGGGAAGGCCAGGCTCAAGGGACTGCTGGACGGGACCGCATGGGAAGCAGGAAGGTCCGAACCACAATGAAGGATGTAGCCTGAAGCAACCTTCGACCATCACCCTTAGGGAATTCACCAGGTATGGACTTTGCCAATTATGGACTCTCATCTGTACAGGTATGCCTGGGCAGCCACAAAATAGTTAGTCAGAAGGACTGTGTTGCATGTTATACTGCCTGTTTCCAAATGTTTCAAGCCTGTTTGTTCATTGTTTCAAGCCTGGTAAGAAGTCATTGAAAGGGGCGCATGGTGGTATATGGAGTATCAAAAGAACAGGGCCTGTATAGCACACAGGGTATGAAAGCAAGGCCACTACGAAGGGTTAACTAGCAGGAGAGTTAGAGGAAGAGAATAGTTGCCACGGATAACCAAGAACTGGTAGGAAGGGAAGAGTAGCCGGTCAATAAAGCGTGGTACCTGGCGTAGGCAACAGGTCCTCTAGTAGCAAGGATGACAGTGCTCTGGCTTCCTCTCTAGTAGTTGGTTCTATCAGAAGTGTCTGGAACTGAACCCGTGGTACAGAGACCCCAGGTGCCTAACCACATGGTATGGGGAGCAGAATGAGTTAACTATGTACACACATGAGATCTGGGCTAGTGCATGGCGCGACCCCATGGACTGGTGGAGAGAGCATAGGCTCAGCAGTGTCCCTCCTAAATGCAATGTTTCACAAGCAAGGTGTGTAGTAACAGGGACATAGTCCCTTTACAGAGGGACTATGTACATTTAACTACTGCACATGATGTACGGCTCATCTCATCAGCTGGGATACCATAATGTTGACTTCACGTGAAAGAAAGGTAACCTT